AGGGTTTGTGTGCCATGAAACACAAGGCTCCGCATCACTGTTCCAATGACAACCCGCGAATGCACAATGTGCTGCAGGGTATGCCACTCCTGCCATTGGGCCACACGACTGTGCGGACCAACCTTGCAATGGCTTCGGATGCATCGGAAACTCCTGCAGCAGCACACGAATGGCCCTGCACCTGTCTTCCATGTCATCCTCGGGTGTCAGGATGCGTCTCCCTTCAGCAGCGCGTATGTCACCTATGTCCAAGCCTTGGATGCCTTCAACCTCCGATTCCGTCGACATTGTGCTGCCATCTTGCCCTTCAACGTCCTCTGGTTTTTCATTCTGCCTCTTGCAGCTGTCTTGTGATGACTCATCTGACCATACGGTGCTGTCACGTTCCTGTTGCATGGCAGGTCTCTGTTTGAGAACTTGTCGAACGGCTCGGCTGCCGCCTTCCCTCCACAACTTCTCCCAGCCCAGCATCAGCAACTCCAACCCGTCGCAAACTGAAGTCTTCACAACATCATAATGCCCTGTGCAACCCAGGCCTTGGTACACCAGTTCCATTACGTTGGTGTGCTTTGCAAGGACATCTTTGACTTCTTCGCTGGAAATGGCTTCTAGGGTGCTGACCCGATAGTTTTCGCCTGCTTGTGTGCCCCAAATGATTGCTTCAAACGAAAAAATTCTGCATAAGGCCCAAAGTTCCACCACAGAACCATGATGAAAGCTGTCCAGGCCATCTTGCTTGCTCAGCACTGCTTCAATTTTACTCCACAGCACCGTCTCTGCATCAGTGACCGCTTCCAGTTTTCTGGGGAGTACGCCAGCTTTCCGATGCAGATACTGCCGATGCATGTTGAGTTCATTGTCTGACTCAGGCACACAGGCGCTTTCCATGACTGCGGCATCTGCATCGGTCTGCCGCAGTCCATGCCACAAGTATTCCAAAGCTCTCAAGTACAGGCCCGCGGCTCGCTGCTGATCCCACACAAAGGCGCCTTTGTCACCTTGCTGGAAGAAATAGCATACACAGTGAAACAAGCAGTATCCATCACCGGGCACCGACACCACCTCCTGCACATGCTCTGCTTTTCCCTGTTTGGCTGCTTCGGCTTTCATTGCCTCTCGAACTGCTTTGCTGCCTGCCTCCAGCCACAATTTTTCCCAGCCAGAAACTGCCTGCGCCATTCCGGTGTGACCGCGCCCCTTGATGATGTCATAATGTCCCGTACAGCCCATCGGCCGATAAAGTACTTCCATGACGTGCACATGGTTCCTCAAGACCTCTTTGGCTTGTTCGTCGGATAGGGCTTCTAGGGTGCTTACTCTGATGTTCTCATCTTCTTTCCCACCCCAAATGATTGCTTCAAACGAAAAGATTCTGCATAAGGCCCAAAGTTCCACCACAGAACCATGATGAAAGCTGTCCAGGACATGTTGCTTGCTCAGCACTGCTTCAATTTTACTCCACAGCACCGTCTCTGCATCAGTGACTGCTTCCAGTTTTCTGGGGGGTATGCCAGCTTTCCGGTGCAAATAGTGCCGATGCATGTTGAGTTCATTGTCTGACTCAGGTACACAGGCGCTTTCTATGACCGCGGCATCCGCATCGGTCTGCCTAAGTCCATGCCACAAGTATTCCAAAGCTCTCAAGTACAGGCCGGCTGCTCGGTGCTGATCCCACGCAAATTCGTCCGCATCAGTCTGCCGGCAGAAAAAATTTACGCAGTGAAACAAACAGTACCCATCGCCAGGCACTGGCAGCACCTCGTGGCCAGGTCGGCTGCGCGAAGCGCTCTGTCTGCCTTCCACTCCATCCATATCGCTTTGGTTGGACGTGGTATGTGTGTCTTTTAATCCTTCACAGATGATTCTTTCACAAGGTAACTCGTTGGTTGCTTTCGCAAAATAAAGGGGACAGGGGGGCCCATGCCCGCGTCATGACTTTCTTACAACCCCTGCCGTTTGCCACAACACTGTGGAACTTGCACAAACAATCTTTGCAATTTTGGATGCTCGCAGCGCTGTGTCTGCCTTGCATTCCATCCATATCTTTCTGGTTTGGATGTGGTATGTGTGTCTTTTCATCCTTCAAATGATTCTCTAACAAGGTAACTAGTCGGTTGCTTGCACACAATAAGAGGGACCAGGCGTGCTCATGTCCATGTGATGACTTCTTGAAACCCGTGCTGTTTGCCAAAACACTGTGGAACATGCGCAAACAATCTCTGCAGTTTTCATACGTGTCTGCACACAGTCACTGCTTTCTGACCAGCACTTCTTTCCTGTGCTTCTTGCGCCTTGTTCTTCTTGGTACCTTTCTCCTTGCGGCACCTGCCAGATATTCTTGACCGACAGAAGTCTACCAATTGCGCATGCTTTCACTGATGGCCACGTGTGATGCGCACTGTCACAAACCGGTCCGTCTCTCAGTCAGCCACAGCGGTTTGATTGTGTGAGGCGTCCGACTGTGTCCATTTGCAACTTGCCTCATCGAAACAGCTGCACAAATGGCCGCAAAAACGGCTGCAACTGGGGCTGCAAAAACGGCTACTGGGCATGGCGTGCTTGATCCCAGTGAATTGGCTGGACTTGTTTCCAACGAAGACTTCCGTACAAAAGGTTTCATCAATCATCACCAAACCCACAGCAAATGTTTCCGTGAAAGCGAAAGCTGGTTGACAGTAAAGTGGTTAGTTCGACCTGGAACATGATCTCACCAGATTTCATTCCTTGCATGGTTGCTAGGTGCTGCACGATCTTTTTGCAACGGTTGCATATCCTCCGTTCCTCCCTCATGAACAATGACTCAGCAAAAGCCTGTGCGTCACACTTTGTGCGACTGCTTCAACTGAAGCCCACTTCTGTTTTAACAATGAACTTGTTTCTATACTAACCTGTCTGGCACCTACGCCTGTTTTTTCTCTTCCGCCTCTCTAGCAATATGAGCATGACAACGGCGCCTTCAAAGTTTGGCGTCGTGTATGGTTGGGCTTCAAGCGCCAACTGCAGGTAGTAGGGCTGCCAATAATTTCTCTGCAACGTTCACATTACAGGTTTTGCTGGTCATTTCATAGACTATAGTCGGATGTGTTTCCTGGACCAACTTTTCCACCTCTTTCGTGTGGTAACCCTGACACTTCAGCATTTCCATCGGGTTCATGGTGTCCTTGAGGTGCGTCATCCACATGCCTGGGACATGCTTGTAGCTCATGTATGGCACCCTTTCCTTTGCCCACAGAACTCGTCTGTTCAGGGCAGTCCCCAGGTCCACCACAAAACATTCCTTGCTGGGTTTTGCGCTTCGCTCAGCCTTCTTGATTGCCTTCATGGCTCGTGCGAGGTTTTGCTGCGCGATGCCACTCAAAGGTCTGGACATGCGGTGCGCGTGTTTCGGCCTAGGCTCCAGGAATTGGGATAACTTCGGTGCTGGGCATGTCTCCGGCCACTGCCACTGTTGTAGAAGCTTGTGCTTTTTGACGCCAACCAAATACATTCTCTGCCTGGTGGCGGGCACTTCTCCAACCTTCAAACTATCCAGCACTCGAAAATCCACATAGTAGGCGAAATCCCGCACTTCAACCAAAGCATCCAAAAATTTTTGGGCCGGCGTGCGGAGTGGCTTGCTCTCGATCAATTCTGGGCCCAGTTCCAATAGAAAGATATCTGGGAACAGCTGCCTGATTGTGTCACAAATTTGCCACATTGCTGGTGCTACCCTCCCGTCTTCAACCACAGCATGGGCTGTGCAGTTTGCTGCATACACCAAGGAAATGAGCGGCGAATGCGGCAGGTCACCCTGCAACATCCAATTTTCACGTTCCAGTAGGTCATTGTACAGCTTTTCACACCTGGGATGCAACACCGCAAAGGCCGAACGGTGGCTTGGCGCGCTTTCACTTCCAAAGACATGTGCCATGTAGGGACGGAGTCTGCGAAGCGCAACTGCCGCACCATCTAAGGCAGAGAAATCAGAGCAATAGAACACCATCTTGGGACCGGGAACCGGCTGACATTGGGGCGCAACTACCTGCGTGTGCGCTGGATGAGGAGGCTCCAAACCTGCTCCCGCAACAATTGTTGCTTTGGTTCTGGCACGTGTCCGCACCTTTGGGAACGTCTTTACCATTGCTGCGGGGTCTCTAACTAGCCTCTGGAACCATCGGCTTCAAATTACTCAGTGTGACCATGCAGCAGCAGAAGACCACGTAACTTCACGTGACATATTCTCCCATGCCATCTCTTCATCCACACACCACATGTTTGCAACACAGGAACTGTTTTTTTGCCGCGCAACCATTGCAACGAATTGCGCATCTGAGTTCGTAGCAATTGCTAGAAAGAAGAGTCTGCTCGCCCATTGAATTTGAACACGATAGACCCGCGTCCTTTTTCCCAACCGGCTTGGTTGAACGAAAGTGTTGGTATCTACAGAATGGAGGTGCTGGGGGTAAGCCAGGGTGCGCTTCACTGCAGGTTGCTCATCACAACTTGACCTGACATTTGCACTTTCCAAACAAAATTGGCATCGTGTGGGAGGTTGGAGGTAATGGTGAGGCTCGTGGTTTTTCAATTGCGGATGTAGCCGGATATAATTCAATAGGTTGTTTATTGCTGCAGCTGCTCCACACCGTTTTACTTCCTTTTTTCCGGCATTTCTACCCAGGCGACGTTGAAATCACCTGGTTTTGACGATGAAACTCTTGCTCGACCAAAACCAGGGATGCTAATTCCAAACATGTTTTGCACCTTTGTGCAGATACCTCATCACGACTTGGTTCCTTTTTCTGCATCCCTGTTGAAATCAATTTATACCACAACAATGCTCATAAATCCAAACTTTCGGGGTTCTAATTTGATATTCTTTCAGGGTTCCAAAATCATAGTGGTCACGATTTTAAGACTCTCAACGGCAACCCCGGAAGGGGGATTCTAGACACCTCGGTCCTGAGGGTACAAAACATCCAGCTGCTACGTTACATGATGACCTCCGTCTCCATATCCTCTGCCTTCCGTTTCTTGGCACAAGTGCGGTGCGCTCCGATGGTTTTGGAAGGCGCGGCACTGTGCACAGGGCTGGCTGCTTTGGCCCAAGGCTGGGAGGCATAGAGATAGGGAGCAGCAGGCTGATCCTCCGATTCGATCTCTCCTGCTGGCGAATGATGGGGTTTTAGACACCTCGGATTGGCGGCGTTCATTGGGATTAGTTGAAGTGGACCAAACGTGAAATTTTCTAATCAGTTAGGCTTGACTATAACTTACATGCCCAGCGCCTTTGTTCCCTGAAGTAGTCACCTCTGAATCATTGTTTGCACTGTGGCTGACTTTTACGTAATGTTTTCCATTCGAAACTTTGATCCACGGACCACGTCCAAGGCCTCCATCGTGCGTGCAGTTTCCATCTAGGCCACACGTCCTGCGAACTCACAGATTCAATGACCAACTTGCTTAAGAAACTTGGCTTCTCTGGTCGCGATTGAAAACCGACCTGACACCCAACAACTGTACCTCCCAGAGCCAACCTGCAACAAAGTAGTTGATTCCATACCTTCGTCGACCTCGCAACACACATTCTGACCACCATAATCACAGAAAAGGGCATGCAGATGTGTCGCCGCAATTCTTGCCGGCGCTTTGGAACTCGTGACCAAAAGACATGTCTTCATATATGTGCCAAGCAAAACAACGAAAACTTAACTTTTGCAACCTAAAAATCATAAAAATGACAACCTCGTGTTTTCCAGGGCACACTGCGAAAACATCTGGAAACGTTGTTTTCACATGCTTTAGCATCACTTCAGCTGACCACATACACAAATCAACCAACCATATCATATAGTCCTATCATAGTTACATGCTGTGCTCATGGTTTGGGTTTCTTTTGTGTCTAAGTCCCATGCAAAACCCGTACTTTACCCATGCTAACACGAACTTTTGGCATAAATACATTGCGTCTTTCCAAAACACAATGTTTTTCAAACGCTTGCTGAACCCGTGCCAAGCCCGGACTTTGCCCGTGCAAGCCCGTGCCGTACTATTTCTTCGGGTGCCATGGGGTCCCGCCTTTGCCTTTTTTGCTGCTATATTTCAACAGTTTCATATGATCATATGCAAACAGACATCGCATAGGAATTATTGGTGGGTGATGTCGGCTATTCACCCCCCAATACTTGCATGTGCGGCGGGCAATGTATCCGGGGCACCATTCTGGGAACTCCATTGGGGCCCCTCCAGCGTTCAACCGACAGCCGGGCTGATTCCTGGACCAAAACGCACGAACTGGGGCACGAAGGAGCACGCGCAAAAGCACGAACTGGCGCACACAAAGTTGGCACGAGGCAACCCACCAAAAGACACCAACTGGAGCACGCAAAATGGCACGAAGGAGCACGCGACAAAGCGAAACAGGGCACCAAAAAACAGGCACAAAGGAGTACACCAAGAAGCACGCACTGGAGCACACAAAATGGCACAAAGCGAACGCCACGCAACACGAACTGGAGCACGCAAAATGGCCCGAGGCAACCCCCCAAAAACCACGACCTGAAGCACGCACAATGGCAAAAAGCACGACCTGGAGCACAGAAAAATGCACAACTGGGAGCTGAAAAACAGGTTGCTTTGCTCACGGTAGCGCGATACTGATTGCACTTCAACCTTGAGCTTGGGGAGGAACCTTCTTTTTGCTATTGGCTCTTTGTTTTATAACACTCCCTTTTAAAACGCGCACAGCAGCACAACCAAACAAAACGAAAACAAAACAAGCCCCGAGAAGGAGCACGAAGAAGAACAAGTTTTTTCTCTTGCGTCAGGCGCTGGTGTGCCGAAAGAAGCTCTGGCCCACCAACCGGCGACACATCAGTACCTGCACGCAAAATGGCACGAGGCAACCCTCCAAAAAAGCACCACCTGGAGCAATAGCAATGGCACGAGGCCTCCCACCAAACAGCACGAACTGGAGAGCGCCAACTGGCACGAGGGAGTCCGCCAAAAAGCGCGCACTGGAGCACACGAAATGGCACAAAGGAGTACACCAAAAAGCACGAACTGGAGCAAACGCAACGGCGCAAAGGAGCACGCGGCAAAGCACGAAATGGAGCACAAAAAATGGCACACGCCAACCCACCAAAGGCACGAACTGGAGCACTCAAAACGGCACGAAGGAGCACACAAAAAGCACGAAATGGAGCACAAAGCATTGCACAAAGAAACCCACCAAAACAGCACGCACTGGAGCACACACATAATGGCCACAGGTCACAGGTGACAGCTGACAGCTACAAATAATGGCCGCACAAGCTATGAAGCAATGAACAGCCATCATTTGGAAATTGCTCACAATCTCAAGGCACAACAAGCCGAAGCCTTTTGCGCAGCAGTCGAGGGGCCATGGCCCATGCAAGGAAGGACCAACTTGCCGCTAGTGCGGGCAACGCATCCGATGAGACATTTGTCGTTGGAGACTACCAGGCTCAAAAATGTTCAACTGCAAATTGCCATTTGATGCCATTTGTAAATTGAATGCAAAGCTGCAGACAGAGCAAGCAGGTCGGGCAGGTGAAGCATACACACACACACACCATGTCACTCAAATCATGACCAATTCCGGAATCACCCTTTGCTTTGTGCACTTTTAGGGGGTCCCTATGTAGAAATTCTTTTTTTTGCCTGTTACAGTTATTCGGATAGACTCAAAAATTATATATATATATACACACCTTTGTACGTCCATTCCACTAGCCGGCCTTGTCTCCAGGGCTCGCCTGTGAGCGCAAATCATCGATTGTCATGTTGGGAGTAGCCTCCCTGGATTACTCAAGCCGTTCCCGTCATGAGTCATGAGGGGAGTTGGATTCTGTGGGTGTTATTTTCTATTACAGGTGGTTGCAAAGTATAACGATCATTCAAACCATTTCTGACCGGTCTGCACTGAAGAAGATACGTCCATATGAAAGCATGCAAGCAGGCACGCTAAGAAAACGACTTAAAGGCACCACCCACCTCTTTTTCACATGAGGTCATTTAGGCAACGAAAGGAGCGCAAGTGAACATGTTATGTTTATCAACATGTCCGCATCAGCTGGATTGCTAGAGCCCTTGGCCTGCTACTTTCCATCTCGGACAGAACTCGTACCTGGATCGAACCAGAACAAGGGCTCAATCAGAGCTTGCCAGAACATTTGTCCATGCTCTACATTCTTGCCACCTCGCGGGGGCACTTCAACCATGGCTTCCACAGCTCGCACCCCAGGGCTGCTAGTTTGCTGCACTTGTTCAAACTGTGTCTTGCAAGTTGCATGTGGCAGGTGTAGCTGTTCTGGCTTTGATTCGTGAAAGTCACCGGCACTAGGCACTCGTTGGCCTGACTTCTGGCCCCGGCAGTGCTTGTAAGCCAGTCGCAGGATGATTCCAACGTCCACACTTGAACAAATGGCTGTGGCTTCCAAATGCTTTGGGCAGTCACATGAAGTCAGCAAGTGTGTCTCAAGTCGCAACCATTCGGAAACCAATCACTATTGAACCCGAATAGTGTGACCAACCACAATGCCCTGACGGCCTGTGGCTGGATGAGAAATAAAGACGCTCAAGCCACAACTTCAACTGTTGAATTAACTTGATCATTGGAACCAAATTTCGCTCTCTACACTGTCTTTCGGGCCGGCCTTGGCTCCGGCGGAGCCGATACTGAGCGTCAGCTCTTAAATTCGGCTCCGCCGGCTCCCCACGAGTGGCTTGCCCTACGAGCGTCCCAGAGCGACTAGAGCTCTAAGGTGAGGCGCGCCCCAAGCCGCCGACCCTCCGACGCCGGGCCCCGAAAAACACCAAAAATCCTTCAGGAGGGTGGGGGAAAGCTTTTTGGCCGGAATCCGGGTCGCTCATAAGCGTCTCCAAGAGCAAAATCCCGCCCCCCCCCCCGTTTTGAGGGTACCTAAAATCGGAAAAAAGTGTCGTTTTGACACATTTTTCGGACGATTTTCAGCTTGTCGAAATGGGCACAATGCTGTAAATTACAGCATTTTTGCGTTTTAACGTCTTTTGCGGGAGCAATGCAAAAATGCAGAAAATGCTGTAAATACCAATACTTTTTTGACCCGAGATGCACAAAACACTGCAAATACCAGTGTTTTTGAAAGCCAAGCCAAAAAACACTGTAAATTACAGCATTTTTGGCAAGTTTATCGCAAAAAATGCTGGTATTTACACTGTTTTTGCAATTTCAAGAAAACGTGGAAGGCACGAAACACTGTAAATAGCAGTGTTTTAGCCACTTTTGGACGCTGAAACGCTGGTATTTACACAGTTTTTTGCCCGTGACGGCGCCAAACCCCTGTAAATTACAGCATTTTTTGCACTTTTTGAACCGATTTTTTGCCTTGATGAACGCAAAAAACGCTGGTATTTACGCGTTTCCCAAAAAATCGAAGATCGTGACGTGAACGAAACCCTGTAAATAACAGTGTTTTAGCCACTTTGGGAGACTAAAACTGTGGTATTTACGCGGGTTCTTGCCAGCTGACAGCGCAATATGCTGTAAATTACAGCACTTTGTGCGCTGTTTATGTTCAATTTTTAAACACGCGATGCTTTCACATGTTCTTTGCATTATTTTGCACTCTTCCACAAGAAACAACGTTGCAGATTGAAACTGGACGACAGCGTGACCCGAAAGAAAGCTGGAGGGAGGAGACGCACAGAAGCTTTTACCCACACACACAGGAGCTTTTACACAGAGAAGTCTTTACAAAGGAGCTTTTTACATACAGAAGGTTTTACACAGAGAAGTCTTTACTCTAAGGTGCTTTTGCAGACCAACGTCTAGGAGCTTTTACTCACAGAAGTTTTTACACGAAGAAGTCTTTACACAGAGGACTTTTTACACACAGACGCGTTTGCACACAGAAGCTGTTACACAGAGAAGCCTTTACACAGAGGAGCGTTTACACACCAAAGCGTTTACACACAGCAAGCTTTTACACACGCAGGGGCTTTTACACAGAGAAGCCTTTACACAGAGTATCTTTTTACACACAGAAGGTTTTCCACAGAGAAGTCTTTCCTCTGCGGAGCTTTTTCACACAAACGTCTTGGAGCTTTTACACACAAAAGCTGTTACACAAAGGAGTCTTTACACAGAGAGCTTTAACACACAGACGCGTTTACACACAGAAACTTTTACACAGAGAAGCCTTTACACAGAGAGTGTTTACACACGGAAGCTTTTACACACAGAGAAATCTTTACACAGACGGGCTTTCACACAAAGAAGCTTTCACACAAAGAAGTCTTTACACAGAGAATCTTACTTTTACACACAAAAGCTTTTACACAGAGAAGTCTTTGCACAGAGGCGCCTTTACACGAAGTAACAAGTTGAAATCGGCAGCAGTTCTTTAGGAAAAACCATTCGCAGGAGCTTTCGGGAACTCACTTGCTCCCCAAAAAACGTCTATTCCAACAAATATGTTCCAAAA